GCATAAACTGAGAGGGAGCCAGTCAAAGACAGGGAGGGGCAGACGCCAGGGACACGCAGAGTCTCGCAGAGACAGAGAGACACAGACACCCAGGTAGACAGAGTCCTGCAGGGAGAGAGCCGGCGAGGCCCAGGGACCCGAGAGGCCGACGCGGGAAGTCGGCGGGGGACGCGGACCCACCCGGAGTCCGAGAGCAGAGGGCGCGAGGCGGCGAGGAGTGGGGCCCACCGAGGGGGCGGCCGGCCCCGCGCCGCGCGCCCCGGATGCCCCCTTCCCCCCACCCCGGCCCGACGTGGCTCGGGTCCCCGGGCCCCCAACCGAGGCCCCCGGCCCCCAGCCCAGGCCCCCGGCCCGCCCCCTCCCGCCCAGCTCGGGCCGCCGCCGCCGCACCTTATTGAAGGCGAAGAGCTCCTGCTTGAGTTTCTCGCGCTGCGGGTCGGCGCCTTGCCGCCGGAACCGAAACTTCATCATCTTGCGGCCGGCTACCGCCACCGCGCCCGCCGCTGCCGCCGCCCGCAGGATGCGCCGCGCGGCCCCGCCGGTCCTGAGGCGCGGGCGGGGCGCCAGGCGGCCGGGGCGCAGGCACACGGGGTCGGGCCTGCAAGGAGGTGGGCGCCGGGAGCGACTGACGCGCCGCCCAGCCAATGGACGCGCCTGCGCGCCACCCGCCCCGCCCCTGCCCCCCAGACAATGCGGGAAGACAGGGCCCCAGCTCGGCCCTGCTCGCGAAAACGCCCGCCGAGCATGCGCCGCAGCGCGGGGTCTGCCGGGCCTTGGAGTCCGCTCGCGGGGTCCCCGGCGTGGGCGGCGGGTACGGGCTTTCGACCGGGCCGGTGAGTGTTCCCCAACTTGGAGGCCTTTTCCTTCCACCTAACAGCGAGTGGCGTGCATATTCAGTAATGAGGCAGCCCTTGACGCGAAAGCCAGGGGAATTCTGACGGGGCAACTCCCTGGCCCCTCCGCTCGTTTCGCCATCTACGCCACCGGCCAAGCGACATTATGTATTGTCAGTTTCGCGAGACACCACTTTGTTCCCCAGTGTGCCAGAACCCTCCCACCGCCTTGCTTTTGCCGTGACTGGGTGGTCAGTCAGGAATGCGCCCCTCAGCCCCCAGCCCCCTGCGGGAACTCCTACATATCCCGCAGGATCCAACATAAAAGGTTTTATTTGGCAGCACCGGGGATTCTTAGGAGTGCCATCAGCCAAAGATAGGCTAGAGATCCAGCAGAGTGAAGAGGCCCCCAGGAGATGGCATTTGGGGAAGGGCCTGAGATTGGATTTGGGCTTTTCCGAGATGGGGAGAGGGTCTCCCCTGCGTGGGGAACAGTATATAAACAAAGCTACACTCCGCCTCCAGTCTCTCTGAGGGACAGTCTGCCTCTCCCCACCCATCTCCTTGGCCTCCTTTTCTCATCTGGTCAGTAGCCTCAAGGCTGAACCCTTGTTCCCAAGGCTGAGGATAGGCAACCCTGGGCCCTGGGCTGGGCATTTCCAAGCTCCCAGAAGCTTAGGTGGGGCAGGTGGACCAGGTCCCAACTCCACCAGCTGGTTTCTGACTCCCAGGCAGCTGCTAAGCAACAGGGGTCTGGCTGTTGCCCTCCACCCACAGCAGCCCTGCTCCGCCTTTCCCTGGGGTTGGGGCTGGGGCTGGGAGAGGGGAGCAGGGAGGGAAGATAGTAAGAACAAAGCTTAAGTACCCACTGTGTGGCAGGCACTATTCAAAGCCCTTTCCTGATTTCAACTGAATGCCTTCAATGCCCCTATGAGGGAACAAACAACATTGTCCCAGTTTTAAATAAGGAGACGAAGACCACATGGGCAAAGGCCAGGGGTGGGTATATCTGAGCTGTGGACAGAGCTGGCTGGGGAAGGGTCAGACGCCACCAGCCACTGCCCCCTACTGGCTGAGTGACAAGGCCTGGGCCCAGTTGCCTCTTCCACAAGAGGGCCTCACACAGGGAAGTGTTAGGGAGTTAATTCACATCCGGACATCAGTGTTTAGCAGCTGTGCAGCCTGGAGCAGGTTACTTAAGCTCTCTGTGCCTTGGTTTCCTTCCCTGTAAAAAAGTGGGTGATACTAGCTCCTAGTATCTACTTCAAAGGGTTGTTGTGAAGATGAAATGAATTAGTATTTTTAAAGCCCTTAGACCATGCCAGGCAGGCAGGAGAAACCATGTGAGTGTTAGCTACTAACAGTGTTAGCAAGTAGAGTTCTTGCACCTTGCCCTTTGAACTCTTCCCTCTGTCACCCTGGGCAAGTCCCTGCCCTTCCTCAGTCTACATTTCTGTCTTTAAAAGACTTAGTCATCATGCAGTAGGCAGCCAGGCCTCCCTTACTACACACCCCCAGCTCATAATCTGGGAGAGACAGAGCCAAGTGGAGACCACCACCACTTGGAGTTCACTGTGCTGTGGTAGGAGGACCCATGGCAGAAGAGGCAGCTGGCCTAGGGTAGGTGTCCTAGAAGTGGGGTGGCAGTTCAAGCTGGGCTGTAATGGGCTAGGAGTTTAACAGGTAGGGCTGCATGTAGATGAAGAAGGGGCGTGTGGCAAGCAGGGTTTCTCAAAGTGTTGGAGCACCTGCACACATTGTTAACAATGCAGATTCTAGAAAACAGGTGAAATTAATTTAAATAGCATATTTTATTTAACCCAGTATGTCCAAAATATCATTTTGGCTTCTCTGACTTTTCAGTTATGTTGGAAATATTTCATTGAAAATATAAAACACAAAACTAATCCACACTGTTAAGCAGTCCACAGAAAATGGTGGTTGATAGGATATGGAGAGGCAGGTGGAGGTAGGGGTGTCCCTGAACCAGGCTGGCACCCCAATAAAACTGTACCTGCTGTGTCTGCCTGAGTCCTTGAAGTGATGCTAGAGGTGGGTACAAGGATGGTCCCACTTTAGACAGTAAACGGATGCCAAGGGTAGAGAAGTCACTTGCCCAAGGCAACCTGTGAAGGAAGGCGGCAGTGACGGAAAAGCCCCAGAGGTAAAGCAGGAGCAGCAAGAGAGTGGGAGGAAACCAAGAGAGCTTGGCTGAGAGGTGGGCCCTTGCCTTCCAGGTGGTGGCCCGGATCCCAGCCGAGGCCTTTACCCTTCTCTGCTAACCAAACGGGAGCCTAGGGAGCCTAGCAGGCCTGAGGATCCCTGGAGTGGAGTCTGGGCTGGGGGTCGGGGTAGGCAGGGCCTGGGGCAGAAGGTGAGAGAGAGAGCCAAGTGGGGAGCTGCCTGGGGGAAGGAGCAAGCACCTCCTCCTGCGTGGTATGCAGAATAAAGCTGGCTTTAACAGCTTATTTAGGGCCGATAGGAGGCTGCAATGGGTCTGGGGCCCTCAGTCCACAGAGGGTGACCAGGTGCTGGGCCTCAGTGAAAGCAAGGCCGAACAGGCAGCCCCAGGCAGTCCTCATCTTACAAGGGAGGATAGATAATACAGGTCTCTGAACCTCCAGCCTAGCGCTCTTCCAAGTGCAGGGCACTCCTGACACTCACTGAGCCTGGATCCTGAGCTGTGCTGCTTCTCGGCTTATGCTGGGCCACAGGCTGGGGATTCAGGACTGTACACCTGGCCCCTGCAGTATGTCACATCTGAGACACCAGGGCTGAGGCAGGTGGACAGTTGCAGGCCTACTTGCAGGTGAGGTTGTGTATGTCATTCCTCTCTCCAGCTCCAGGTTCTAATTCTGCCTCTGCTACTTCATCTTTCTGGGCTTCAGTTTACTCATCTACAAAATGGGGGCAAGTATCATCACTGTCATTTATTAACACTGAGCACTTAAGTCTGTGCCAGGCATATTAAAAGCCATTCCCTTAATCCTGTGACCACTTTACAAAGAAAAAAACCAAGCCAGTCAGAGAGGTAAAGAAATTTGCCCAAAGTCACACAGCTAGTACATGGCAAAGTTAGGATTTGAGTCCAGGCCCCAAGTTAGGTGTTAGAGGTTATGAGAATTAAATGAGACAATTCGTAAAGGGCCTCACAATGGGATTCTAGGAGAGCGTGAGTTCAGTCCTAGTCTCTCAGCCAAGAGTAGAAAGAAGCACTGGGACCACACAGTACTCAGTACACTCTGCACTGTGCTAAGAGAAGCCAGGGTCTGCTGAGCCCAGAGGCAGACTGGGTGGAGGCCAGAGAAGGTGGTTTCCAGCAGCAGTCACCTAGGCATGGCACATGCAGACTTAGAGAGACTGCCCTGACAAGTTAGGGCCCTTCCGCATGCCCACTAACCCTGGGTGCCCTGGCTGGGCAAGGCAGACTCGGTGGAAAACCTAAGTTCTTGCCTCTGGGGCCTCAGTTTCCTCCAAACCAAGGGATGGCTGTCCCCTGCCTCTCTGAAGCAGACTGTGCTGCCACATCGTGGGCACAGGGGGAACTGCACCCATGAACTGGAGGACCCTAGTGCACACCACGCAGTGGCTCTAAGCCCACCTGGCCTGGGGTCGGGCCCCTTAATCTCCGGTCAATGCAGTGGCTTTCTTACTGATTCTGACTGGCCTCAACACAGCAGCCCAAGAGATGCTAAGTTTGATCACATCCTGTCTGCTCAAAACCTCCCAGAGAAGCCACTTGCAAGAGCCAATTGTCAAATTTAAGAATTTTTATGATTCAGTTGTTAAACACTACCATTATTAAAGACTAAGTTATATGAATTGAATTATACTAAAAGCAAAGCTAATGTTCAAAACTACATACTTCCTATTTTACTACATTTTAGTATTTATGCTCTTTAATTATATATGTTGTGTCTGCATGGTGGAAACACTGTATAATGGTGTTCTCAACTCCTTGTTCAGTGACCTCATGTTGACAGCTTGAAATCAGCCGTGATGGGAGTATTTCCACCAGAAAAACTGGCACACACCACAAATCAGGCTGGATTTATTGTTGATTTTCTAGACCAGTGCCATCTAACAGAAGTATAATGCAAGCCACCTAAGTTAACTTTAAATTCTTAAGTAGCCAGATTTAAAACAGTACCAGGAAAACAGGTGAAATTAATTTAAATAGCGTATTTTATTTAACCCAGTATGTCCAAAATATCATTTCAACATGTAATCAATATAAAGTAACTACATTCCTTTTCTCATACTAACTCTTCAAATTCTGGTATTTTACATTTAAAGCACATTCAATTCAAACTAGCCACATTTCAAGTGCTAAACAGCCAAATTGTCCAGTGACTGCCATATTGGACAGCACAGGTCTAGACTTACGAAATCAGTGGGAGAAAATATTGATGCACATTAAATTTAAAAGTAGTGTGGGGGCTGAGAGATTTCAATCCAATTAACATGTTCAACAATGAGTTATCAGTAGCTCATGTATCAGATTTAATGACATGTCTGTTGGGAAAAGAGCAGTGTAGAAGGCTAAACAGATATCAGGTCCTTATCCCCGGAACTTGTAGATTTAATTTTTTTTTACTTTGCAGATGTGGTTAAGATCTTCACATGGGGGGATTATTTTTGATTATCCAGATAGGCCCTAAGTCCAATCACAAGTGTCCTAAGGAGGGAGCAAAGGGAGATCTGGTACACATAGAAGAGAAAGCCATGTGGCCACAAGTCAAGGAATGTCAACAGCCACCAGAAGCTGTTAGAGACAAGGACTAGAGCCTGCAGAAGGAGCATGTCTCTGCCAACACTGTGATTTTGAATTTGTGACCTCCAAACTGAGAAAATAAACTTGTGTTTTAATCCACCAAGTTTGTGGTAATTTGTTCTAGCAGCCCTAGGAAACTAACAGAGCAGATGGGATGGCAACTCCGTTTGCCATTATAGTGGTGGAATTACCACCACAGGTAGACTACAAATACAAGAATTCAGCAAAAATCAATGAAACCATTCTCTGAGAAACAACTGGCTATATAGAACTTACAATTAAGACTGGTGTATATTTTATTATTTGAAATTTATGTGCTACAGATCTTTTGCATCAGTACAGTTTATGACAACCTTACATGTATGTGTGTGACACACACCAGGTCTGTCTTGTGTCCTCAGCAGCTGGCACAAAGCTTGGTACACAGAACACTCAAGTATTTTTTGAATAAATGAACGTAACTTTGGGCCTTAATTTCCCCCACCACACAAAAGGGTTAGAGAAACAGGATGGGCTCCCCAGGTGGGCAGGGCTGGTGCCAGATGTTAGAGCACCTACTGTGTGCACAGCTGGGCTGGGGACGGAGAGCAATGGGATTTAGCATGTGGCCCAAACAGCTGGTGCCCCAGGAGATGGCTGGGGACAGTCAGATTCAGGGAGTCAACTGTGGGATTCCTGCAGGTTTGGGGAATTCTCAGAATTATCAGGCTCAGAGATGGAGTACCATGGAGCCTGAGGTACAGAGACTGAAGCCAGTGATACAGGAGGACCTAGTAGGGCTGGAGACCCTCCCTCTTGCAACCATCTCACAGTCCTGCAGGTTCCCAGGGCCTAGGTAGCACTCAGGACTGGCTTTGTCACAGCTGCAATTGGGTTCCTCCTAGCCCCCCAGCTTTCCACATGAGCCCCATCCCATGCTCCTAGAGTCAGGCCAGGCAGAGTCAGGGGTGCCCACCTCTGCCACGTATAGTCTGGATGACCTTTAGCAAGTCACCTTCCCTCGGCTCCAATGTCTCCTCCTCTCCAGGGCATTCAGGGCCCAGTCTGCCCAGCCCAGTGGCTACCCCTCTAGGTCCACTGGCTGCAGACCACAGGGAAGGCTCTGGTCCCCCTCTTCATATTCTGTCACTGATTGACAGGACTGAGCCACGGCCAGTCACTTGCTCCCTCTGGACTCTCTCTTCTCTGTTAAATGGGCAGTTAATTGGCCTGCCACGTTTCAGTAGCAAAAATTTGGCCAAGCAGACTGGCTCTGAGCACTGCAAGCAAATGAAGGAGACTCCAGACCAAAGCCTTTGACTAGAACCTGGGAGCCGGGTCCAGGATATCTGAAGGGACAGAAACCCTCTGGGCCCCAACCCCACTGCCTCCTAGCTACATCTGCATCCCACAACTATACATATCGTGAAAACCAGAGTTTTGCTCACTACTGGGGCCATGGTGAGAGCTGGGCTGGTATGGAAAAAGAACTCAAGAACTTGTTTCATGAGCAAAGCCACTTGTACACAGGTAAGACATCAAACCTTCTACAAAGGCAGGCTCTCCCCTGCCTTTGCTCATGTTGTCCCTCCTTCACTGGCATGCAGCCTTTCTGATGACTCCCAATAAAAAGGGCTTCCAGGACTCAGCAGGGTGTGATCCTGTTTCCTATGGGGCCCAAGGCACCCTGGGCACCTGAACACATGGTTTATGAAGTCCGTCCTCTTCAGAATGGGGCAAAGGGCAAGTCTACCTTCAGCCCTCAGTCCTAGATCAGAGACTGGTCATCCCCTCTAGGGTGCTGGTAGGCAATGAACTCTGTTGCCCTCTACCCCTTCATTTTAAGGAAAAAATAAAAGGATTAGGCAAGCAACAAAGGCAAGTCCTCTCTTATGACAGTATCAGACAACTGTTTCAAAATATATTAGATTTGGTTTTTATTGTAGAGCACACATATCAGGGCAAAGTGCTGCATACAACTACAAATCATTTTTGGAAAAAAAGCTGTAAAAAAAACTGCAACTGCTTTAGTATGCAGTCCCAACTTAAATCCACACTGGCAAAGGAGTTCTGGCCCCTGAGAGAGCTTCTTGACGGAGGCTGCCTGATTTCTGCAGCCTCAGGCCTAGGCTTCCATAAGACAAGGCCCCTTGGGGTGGTAGCAGCCTGGAGGCTGGGAGGGCCTCTCTCTCAGCAGGCCTGGGTCTTGGCCCTGGCCTGCAAGGAGATAATACTAATGAATCTACATCAGCAAAACTTTGCAGCCTTGGAGCATCTGAGTAGGTGGAAACTGACAGAGACCTAACTTTTTTCCCCCTTTTATTATTCCTTAAAAGCCCCTTCCCCAGCTCCCATGCTCCAGAGGCAGAGAAGGCACCAACCCAATCTGTAGGCCTGAGCTCTGGCCTTGGATGCATGCTGCAGGCAGAGGGGGCAGGCACCTTCCTACAGGGATGAGTGGGGAGAAGGCCCAAGTTAGCCCATGTAGGAGAAAGGAAAGGGAAAGGAAAAAGCCAGGAGGCCAAAGGAAAAATAAAAACTTAAAAACCAAACAGAAACCCTACCACACACAATTTTCCACACCCCAAACACTAGACATGGAAGGACACCGTCCCTCTAGCTAGAAACAGTTCCTAAAACTGCCCCAACATGGCCAGTCTAACTGTTCCATACAATCACAGGCATATGCTTGAAAGGGGCAACCCATCAAAGAGGCGTGCTCTTGGCAAGAGACGTCAGGAGCACTGAAGCCAGCCTCCTGGCAGCCTGGGCCAGTGGAAGCCCAGGGGCAGCCAATAGCTTTGGGGTGGCAGCCCTGGCACTGTTTAAGCCTCTGCCCTGTCATCCTGAACTCTGCTGCAGGAGGAAGAGGGTGTTGGCGTGAGCTTCCAGGGCCTGGAAAGCAGGTGAGAGGTGGCACAGCAGGCCCCCTGCCAAGCCAGCCAAGCGCAGGAGACCTCAACCCTCAACACAGCGCAGACATCAGTGGGAGGGGGTGGCAGGAGACTGACTTCACTGACAATGCTGAGAAGATTTACACTTAAAGCAAAAGGAGGATTTTCTTAGCCAAAACATTTTGTGGCTTTTAAATAAACCCCGTCTGACATAGCCCCACTTGAAGACGGCTGCTCCCCACAACCTCCTACTGGCCACTCCAGTGTGAGCTTCTGTTCCCTACAGATGCCACAGCTCTTTCACCTAGAAGGAAAACCAAGAACATGAGAACCACGTTCCAGCCAATTCTGTTCTTCAGCCTTAATAGGCAACAAACCAAGGAAAAAATATAAGGAGAAAAAAAAAAAAACCAAAAAACGAACAAAAAATAAACAGAAACCCTTCAACGAAACAAATGAAAGGGGCGGCTACGTGAGGATTAACCAGAGTTTCCAGCTGAGTGCCGCAGGCCTCAGTGCCTGCGCATCTTCACCTTTCGGGCCGGGCTGCCCGCCGCCTCTGAGCAGTCCTCCCCAGACTCATAAGACTTGCGCCAGTAGTTCTCAGAGCTGAAGCTCCCCCGCCGCCGGTGTGTGGGCAGCAGCACTGAGCGCCGGTTCTCTTCCTTGTCCATCTCCAGGATCCGAGGCCTGCAAGGAAAGGGGTGAGTCTGGCAGCATTCCCCTGACTCGGGTCTGGGACTGACTCTCAGCCATCTGCTGGGCTCCCTCCAGCTGGTGGTTCTCCACAGGGAGTGGTCCTGGCAGATGCACTGGCATCCTAGTCCTCGCTCACGAAATGCTAGTAAGTCACTTCTAGTCCTAGAGACATTTCCCAAGTGTGCTGTGGGGTCTGCTGGGCTCCAAGTCCAGTACCACAGGACACTGTCCAGGCTGCCAGACAGAAGACAGCCTTCCCTATCAAAGCCTCAACACTCAGACTGCCATCTACCTCTACTTCTAAATCCCTCCCCCTAACTCCCACTTTCTCTCTCTCTCTGCCCACCCTGCCTCTGCTCACCAACCCACCAAGATCTTCTTGCCTTAAGAGTTTCAGCCCATTCAGCACCTCCTGCCTAGACTGCCCTTCCCATGTCTTCCTTATGCTTCCAGTCTCAGCTTAAAAGACACTCCTGCAGAAACTTTCCCCAACCTTTTGAAATGGGTCCCCGATCCACTGCCTTCCAAGTCCTGAGTTTCCCTCCCAACATTTAAGTATAACCCACGAGAACGTTTGTCAGGGTGGACTGAACAAGGAAGTCATGGGAAGGCTAGGAAGCATTCCCACTTGTCAAGAGTCTCGGCCCAACCCTTCTCTCTGCGGGTACAAGCAGGCGGATAGGGGTTAGGAAGGAATGCTACCAAAGCCAACCCAGGCAAACCAGACACAGGCTTTGGAAAGGGGGGCAATGCAAGGCCACACACCCAGGTTTCCCTACCCATCTCACCCTGCAGCCAAGGTCATGGGGCTGCTTTGCTGGTCTTGAGGGTCCTAAGCTAAGTACCTGTGGGCAGCATCAGGGTCTGCCTTGCGGTGGGACCGCTTGGGTTTCAGAGCAAGATCCCTGTTGTTTCCTGAAAGACGATCTGAAGTATAGCTGGGTGGTAACACAGAACTGCTCAGGGACTTTGTTTCCAACCGGGGCGCATCTAACCTCGTCCTGCAAAGGAAGTGCATATGGACAGTGAGTAGGCCTCTGGGGAGGGTGTGGGCCCCATCAGACCAATCCTTTCTCCAGCCAGGCTAAGTGGAAGCTAGCAGTCTCTGCTCGGTGCCTCAGTCTCCTTACCAAGACCCTCCCTCTTAAGTTCAGGCTTAGGAATAGGAACAAGAACACTTCTGCTTGGAGACTTCCAATGACAGGGATCTGTTGCCCCATGAGAAAGATCCCAGGGCTCACTCTTGGCTGCACATGGCAGCCCCACCTCATCATACTCAGGCCCAAGGTTCTCCAGGGCCATCTACACCACCTGTCAGAGGCCTGAGGGCCCCCCTACAGTGGGCCAGCAACATATGCCAACAGACGGCCTACATCCTTGTCTGAAATACCAAGACAGGAAGGTGCCCCTGGCCCAGGTTTGGAAGGGCTGGAAGGGAACAGAGTAGGAGCTCCCCTACTCTCTCATACAGGAGAGCCCATGTCCAACTTCACATTCACACACTTGGCTCTGGTCCTGCCACAGCCACCTGGCAGCTTCTGCTGGTTCCGGGATGCTGACCAAGCCAAGGCCAGAGGGCTCTTGAAGGCAAAATCCCCACCTACCACTGGGTGCAAGTTTCAAGGAACACAATGCCTAGTAACGGAAAAGCATGCAAGTGTGGATGGGAAAGAAAGGGATGGAGAATCTGGGCAGGGAGTAATCCAGGACAGTGGTACGAGTCCTTTATGAAGCCCAGGCCAGGAAGAAGCTGGCCTGGGAAACCTCCAAGAAGCCCTGAGGCTTCCTGTGTCATACAGAGAAGACTGGCCAGTCAGGCCAGAGGCATCAAGAGGCAAGAGAGAGGCCTGGGGTGGGGAGTGAAGGGGACACAGCTGGCAGAAGGCCCTGCAGGCATCTATCTCACAGGCTGCTGGGCACAAATCAGTAACTTGAGGCAGAAGGTGCTGTGGTCAGGGCAGGACTCAAAGGACATCCCATAAGCACAGTCAGAGGAAGACCACAGGAGGGAAATCCAAGGCCTAGGACACTTGGTGCTCTAGGTGACTAACTACATCTAGTCCTCAGAGCTTCCCCTACCCCTATGGTTGAATCCCAGGGAAAACTAGGTCAGCAAAACAGTAAGTCACATGCCCTGGAAATGGTGGGAGAAAGGTCTAAGCCGAGGTGAGACTCCAAGCAGGACAGGTAGGAGCCACAGGATTCCCAGCCTGAACCAAGTATTTCTCCTGAGGCCAGCAGGGGATACCTTATGGCTGGAAACCTATGCCTTCCAGCCAAGCTGACGGGCAGCCAGGCAGGGCAACTTGCCCTGCTCCTCTGCTTTGGCCTCACAGGCAGGGAGCCAATAGAGGCCCAGCTGCACTGACTGGCCCACCAGTCTTAGCTCCACTCTGGGCACTCTAGGCTCACGGAAGCAGGACCTAGAAGCAAGAGGAAGATCCAACCCCAATGTTGCCCCATAACTTCTTGCTCTACCCTCACCAAGCACTACTGTGCTACAAAGCCTGCCTTTCCTAATGGAGAGAAGACACACGGTTCAGTGTGGTGGGCCTGAGTATCCCTGTGCCTATTGAGTGACCTATGCCCCTTGGTCTAAGCTCCAGCACCTCTGAGTATCTGACTCCCACAAAGCCCTGGCCTGCACTACTACCTCTCCTGCAAAAGTATCCACCCCGCCATCTTCTACCAGCCTCCCTTCAACTCCTGCCCTGCTTACCCCACAAGGCAGTTCTGTGACAGGTATAGAGGCGTGCTTTAGTCAGAAGAGCCTAAAATTAAGAGCCTAAAATGAGAGCTATCACCCAAAGAGAGGGCACCCCAAACACATGGTCCAGGGCTTCCAGCAGATCTCCCCCCATACCCAGGTCTGCGTGATACCCAGACCCCATGAGGAGCCTCTCCAAATCAGTAAGCCTGGTTTCCACCAAGTCACATCACACATGCATAACCCAGAGCTCTAAGAGCCTGGGCTCCACAGATGTCAACCAGAAACAGGGCCAGCATCACAGGTACCCAGGAATCTCCCAGATCAGGCCTGGTAAGGGCTTGATATCACCCTCCAGGACACTAGACACCAAACTTGCTTCACCCACGTGGGCCACTGAACAACATACCTCCAGGTCTCCCTTTCCTCCCACTCCATGTGATCCTGCTTCCACCTTGCCTCAACTAGGCACAGCCTTCCTCATCCCCTACCCCTGACCCATTAAGATAGAGGAGAGGCATGGTGAGGACGGGGTTAGAAGCACCCCTAGCTCCATGACAGCCTCAATTCATAGGTGAGAACATTGGGCTCAGGTAACCAGTTTGTTCTCAGTGAGGAAAGGGCAAAGCCCAGAAGCCCAAGTCATTCGAAACCTCTGGAGGTCTCAAATGCCCCCTTATTCCTTGGGCAGATTGTGAACACATCACATTGGTCAGGTTGCCAAATGGGCAGGGAATATGCATGTGCACACAGACACTGACTGGACCAGGGAACTAAGTGCACTAACCCGTGGCACAGGGGACAAAAACCATGGAGACAAAGCAATGACAGTGGTCTCAGTGGGGGCAATGTCTCAGGCCTGCCAAGTCAGGGAAACCAAGTGCTAGCTACTTCTCCCCCACCCCAGGGACACATCTTCCATCCTCATCCTCCGGCTCATCCACTCACACAAACTCCCATCTGGGCGGCTCTGCCTTCAGGGAGGGTCTCCCCTGACCCATGGGACCCCTTGGCCTAAATGACCATATAAGCCATTTAGCTCAGCCCTCCTACAATCTCTCCCATGAAATCCCTCACCCCATGCTCAAACACCTCAGTGGCTTCCCAATGCCAGCTTTCTCCAACACAGCATGAGGTCTTCTGAATAGCTTAGATCATATCAAGCCCTCTGCCCCATGTCTACTCTATGTTCCAGAATGGACTACCTCAGAGTTCTCAGACTCTGGGACTCTGTAAAGGTGAAATCTCTACAGCTTAAACTGTCTGCTCCAAACCTCTTCCACATCTGCCTGAAGCCCACACATCCTCACCAGTTCAGATGGCAATTCTCTGGGAAGCCCTCCTTGACCAGCCCCGGTGAGGTGCTGAATGTCTGCTTTCCCCCAAAGGAAAAAGGAAGAGACCATACTAACCGCATACCTGGCACTAGCACAGAGCCCGGCACACTCCTGCCTTAGCTAACATTTGGCAAATCAATCGCTAGCTGCTTTACCTAGCTTCAGCTCACTCTGAGCTTGACTCCCCTTGACCAAAAGCAAAGGAAATGGGCAATTTACACTGCCTTGAGCCACTTTATCTGGTTAACTGGGCAGGCAAACAAGTCTTTAGGCAGACCCAGCACAGCCCCAGGGGAGTCCCAAAGACCAAGGAACTGGGTGTCCTGGCCACCAATTGTAAGGCCAAGGGCTACCCACAAGTCATCATTCCTGATGACGTGTGTTGATCCAAGGGCTCCTTCCGACCACTGTCCTGCAAACTACAGAGGTCAGTCCTCTACACTTCCCACCTTCCAGCCTTTCAGCTTACATTTCTGCCTGACCAACAGTTTATAGCTCCAGAGCCAGATCTACCAGGCCTGTCCCAACCACACCCCAACCCCCAAGATGGGTGCAATTTTTTGTTTTTGCTGGGCCCCAGCAAACACACTGTGCTTTTAGGGCAGTGCTCACTCTGCCTGTGTTCAACTGACATGCAAAAGGCCGACCTGGTACATACTGGGCACCAAGGGAGCAGTAAGTTTCCTGCAGGCCTGCCTCAGATGCCTTGTGCTTGTGAGATGCTTAATGCTTCCAAGTCAGGAATCCCTGCTAAAAGACCACTCCAAAGCAGCTAGATGACCTGACGGAGCCCACTTCCTACCTGAGCTCCTTTCCAAAAGCTACACCCTCTACTCTCAGGGTTAATGTGTGGGCAGCATTCTGCCTGACACCTAGTAGGTGGGTGCCTGGCATGGGGCAGCATGCAAGGTTCTTCAGAAGGCTGCACAGCAGGAAATTGTGGAAAAAATGGAACACTGTTCCCTGTCTCCTCCACTGGCCCTGATGAATTGCTACACCCCTGATGTAGGCCAGCCTCTTGATTCTCTAACCAGTAATCTAAAACTAACCACACCTTCAAAAAGGTTAGGTCCAGCCTCTCTGGTAGGGGTACCAATGATTGACAAAGATGCATGTTGGGCTGCTTGCCCTGGGTGGACCAGGTAACAGTGACATTCAGAAACTGGGAGATGCTGAGGAGCTGACCCACCTGCAGGTGCTGCCTCGCCCCGCTGTGTAGTAGCTCCCTGGCTACTTAAAATACTTTCACCAGTCAGCTCTCTGCTCACAGCAGGGGCAAGAAAGCCCTCTGTATGTGAGCTCCAGTTTCTTACTCACAGCATCCACCCAATGACACATAGGGGCAGAGGTGCAGCTTGGGTGCCCCACTAGGCAAACCACCACAGGACCATAAGACTCAGCAGGAGGACATCCATATTCAAGGCCTCACTCAGCCATTTACTGGCTGTGACCCCAAAGAGGTTATAACACTAAGCTGCAGCCTGAGGATTCCACTCCTGGGGAGGCTCTGAGGTCACTCCCAGCCCCCGTCCTCCCTGTGAGAAACAATGGCACCATGTGCATGAAGACTCAGCATTACCCACATTAGAAGGAAAACACCTGACAGCGACCCACCAATTTCCCCTGTGAGACACTTAGAATGTCTCAGCTCTGACTGATGTGAGCCAGTGACAGGGCCCCACCCCTCCCTCAGCAGCCTATGCAATTCCCTGACCTTAAGAGAAGGCAGGACTGGCTCCACCTCCTCTGCCTATAAGGAGCAGGAATAAGCTCAGCGCCCAGACCCCACCCACTCAGATGTGGCCTCACCAGAAGACACCAAATCAGCCAGTACCCACCAAGCCCAAGTTCCTGATGTCTGGGCAGCACCTGGGCCCGCATGTGCCCCTTTGCATCTTGTCATCACCTTGTCCTTTTCTAAGAAAAGCCCCTATAGCTACTCTGGAGCTGCTCCTCATCTGCCTGAATATTTTCTTCTGATGCCTCCTCTGAACTGGGCCTCAATGCTGGGCCCTGGATGAACAGGGATCACGCAGAGAAAAGATTTGGAAATTCACAACAGCAAGTGTATAGGCTGGGACATCTGAAGTGGGAGGGGGTGTGCTGAGAGGACTGCAGGTATACATGATGCTTCCTGCATGTCAAGACAGTCAACACTTGAGCCTTGAAGATGGCTAGGTTATCAGTGTGTATATGTGGGTCTTTCGAAAGGTAGGGTATACTCAGAAGAGCAACATGTTAGATGGGAAAGTATTCCCAACAGAGGCCACACTGCTTCAAGAGCCCAGAACACAAATCCATGGACCATACTAGGAGCTGCAGGTACTTTAAGTGAGAAGTAGAAGATGACAGGGAAAACACCAAGAGATTAGGCTGGACGGAGAGCCAAAGCCCAGCAAGGAGTCTGGATTTTATCCTGCAGGCCAAAGAGTTACCTGTGCCTTTGGTCCCCTGGGCTGGCTCTCTACAAGCTGGGCACTTCTCCAGTGACATCCTCCCACTCCTCTCTAGCCCCCTCACACCACAGCTCTGTGCTTCTGCCCTCCAGCTCAGTCCATGGCTGGCTCTGGGTCCACTCAAAGGTCAATGAACCTCAGTCACCCCCAATAGCCATTATCTGAGTGAGATCAGATCACTGCCAGGGGCCCAGTTGGCCAGAAAGCTTCCAAGGGGAGCTGATCAACAGTGTAGACGCCTACCTCCACTGAGGAGCATCCAACTCACCCAGCCTGGCAGCTATGGCCGCCTCCATTTGTTCCTCCAGTGAGGACTTCCCTGAGACAAGATATTGGGAGAGGTTTGGAGGCAACACCTGCAAGCTGCTCTGGTTCTCTATCACTTTGGGAGTTCTTCTCCAAGTTTCCTGCCCTTGATAGGCCACCTGTCTCTGGCGGAAGTTGGAGGTGCCAGGTACAGCCTGAGAAGAAATGTCGGAGGAGGAGAGGCAAAAAAAAAGGAGCTACACTCTGGGCTCTCTCACTTCTATGTTCTGGGTTTTGGCCTGTGCTGGGAACCACCCAAGAAAAGAAGGTGGAAAGGCAGATAAAAACCATTTTTCTGATGAATTCTGGGAATCCTTAGGCTAGAGGTCAGAAGTTGCCAGCTCCCAGGCTGACTTACATCTGGAACTTCTGTTAAGTGCCCCCCACACGTTCTGCCTGTCCCACAGGTCTGGATTACCTCCATTCTAGAGATGCTAAAACAGAGGCTCAGAAGTTTGACTTGACAAAGTGGCAGAACCATGTCACACAGACTTCACTACCACATTAATCTGCAGTTCTGTGCCCAAGGGGCCAAGACAACAAAGTTATAGACTCAAGTTAAAAAGATAGAAGCCAAAAAGAACATATTTTGAGAGGGAGAGGAGAGAAAGACAGCTGAGTGCATGCGTGTAAACCCCCAAAAGCCAAAGTTGGGACCAGTTGAGCACATTGAATAAATATCTGAGTCCATACTGATACAGGTAAATGACTGGATGGAAAAATAAACAAGTGGGAAGGAGAGACACTCTCCTGTGGGCAGAACCCCAGATCATCTGGGTGGCTACTCCCTACTCCTTAGGTGCAGGCTGCACACCAACTTCCCTGAGAGGACAGTGTGGGCAGGGGAAAATACAAACTGGAGTGCAGAAACGAACACAAGCTTAGCCAGGCATTCAGGGTCAACCCCAGCGGTGCTGAGTCCTGTGCCTGGGGTATGACTTGAGGAGAAGGGTGCGTTGCCTCTGCGGTCTTCCTCCCCAAACCCACACCCCCTTCTAACCATGAGAGAACATCAGACAAATCCCAGTTGAGAGATGTGCTGCAAAATACCTGACCAGTGTCACCACAAATAGGTGACAAGTGCAAGTCTGAGAGACTGTCACAGCCTAGCGGAGGCTAGGGGGACGCCACAACTACATGTAACGTGGGATCCTAGAACACAAAAGGTACATTAGGAAAAAACTTAGGAAATCTGAACAAAGTGTGGACTTTAGTTAATAATAATGTATCATTACTGGTTTCCTGATTATAATAAACATACCATACTGATAAAATATGTTAAGAAAAGGGAAATGGGATGTGGGGTAAATTATCTCTATTATCTTCACGATTTTCTGGGAGAAGAGAAAAAAACAAGGATGGCAAGCCATAGGACACCCTGTTCCAGCCTGGGTGTGGGCCCTAGTCCTACTCTGCTCACTAGTCTATCTCTGTGATACTGGTGATCACAGAGCCTCTCAGGACTCCGCTCTAACGGCAGGTCCATCGTGACTCAGCATCAGCACTGGCACAGCTCAGCCCACTCACCAGTGTGCTGAAGAGAGAAGTGCTGAAGAGCCCGTTTGCTGACATTAGTCGGCACATTCCAGACTCCCTGACCGGAAAGGAAAGTGAAGCACAAGCTGTGCACCTGCCGAACACCGAGGCCTGTTACTCCACCTTCATTTCCTCTCCTCACTCCCTGCTCCTCCCAGTGAAAACCCAGGCATTTCTAAAGAAGGCTGCTAAGGCACAATCTAAAAATAATCAGGATGTGTGATAAATCAGAACAAAGGGGGTAGGGAAAGGAGAGTGCAGTGTGGGCGGCAAGGGTGTCTGGAAGAGTGTTCCCCAAATCTTGACTCAAGACTGCCCATAAATACTGGGAGCGTGTGCTTTTTGCTCAGCCCTAAACACCCTAGTTAAACAGTCATAGAACTTAATTTTGGAAAAAAACACAAGACAGCATTATCCTCACAGAATTTATATAAAAAAAATACGAGACCTTATAGCCTTTTCCTACCCCAGGCTTCATGTTGCCATGTTATTGATACAGAGGAGCCAAGTTCTAAGGGAACCGAGACCTACGTCTCCAGACAAGCCTGCAGGTGCCAGACACCAGGGCACTTACTTCCGGAGGATGATGACTGCTCTGCGCTCCTTGATGTCCTGAGGCCGTATGCAGTGAGTGATTTCATCAGCAGCATATCCACTGAAAATAAACAGGGCATTGTGAGCATGGCAATGGACAACCAAAATTCCTGAGGGTTAAGGAGAGAGAAATATAGTGCAGGTCTTATGGCCACCCTCTGCCCCATTATTTGAGAGGTTCACATATTATATGGAAGGGAAATAACACATTAACTCTAGGATGCTTTTACCCAGAAACCATGGAAGAAAAAGGCTGGAATGAGGCAAAGACAGGTAGGCCTTAAGGCAGAAGCTGAAGCAAGAAGTTCCCTGCACAAGTCAGAAGCCCTTCTTTTAAAGGGTCCTCAAGAAAGTACACCTTTAGTAACTCTGGAGGCAGCTGGAGTGACTCAGACCAGACCTTGACCAAGAAGACAAGAACATCATCTCCTCCTCCTTCCCCCCTTTTTCCCTATCCCTCGGCATGCAGAGGGAGCCAAGGGGGACGCTGACATCACTGAGTCACCAGAGAGAATCAAAGCTGCAATGTTCAAAGAGAGAATTTGTCTACTTAAAAAAAAAGCTTCCAAGAACATCCACTGGGGGGATCCAAGATCATGAAGACAGCTGTGTTTGGGGTATTTTAAGAATTTCCATCACACTCAAGTATCTACTTATTTTCATTGTTACATGATTTTTTAAACTGCTCAGACCAATGAATGTGGGTAGATGACTGTCCCCTTCAGAGCTAACATCTTCCCGAATGGTAACTCTGGAAGTAAACTCAAGCTTTTGGAGCCCCTCACACACCCTCACTGGAGTATGGCACCCAAGAGGCATCCACCCATCCCACCCCACTCCACCCACATTCCTGCACCGAGCTGAGGCAGTTCTACACAACTAGAAACACACTTGGCCACAGGCCTGAGGTGGGAGGTGAGTACCTCCTCGGACCCGCTCCTGCTCAGCAATTCCTTGACTGCCTGGGGATCACAAATCTTCCTCGGATTGGATGCTAATCAGCTCCCATCTCCCGGGCAGCTATAAAGACATCTATGTCACTATCATAAATACTGCAAGCCTGGGAAGGGCTCCACAAAATGACCAGGTAACATGGGCAAGAACTGGATACACGAGTGAGAAGAAAATAAAAGTCCAAGAGGGAAGCATCTCTGATCTGAGGACACACTGGGGGTAAAGAACCTTTATTTTAAGGATTCCCTCCTCCCCCCATCTGCTACTAGACAAGCATTTGTTGAGTTTTCTCTGTGAACATCAGTCCCATGAGAGACTATGGACAAATGTCTTCAGTCAAATCAATCTGGAAAATACTGAATAAAGGACTTGAGAATTACTACCGCAAAAGAATCTGTTGACTTTGCAGAGAAGACAAGTAGTGACTCTTCAGCATATTACTATGCTGATGCACAGTGACTGCAATGGGGTTTGGGGGGACTCAATAATATGGGTGAATATAGTAACCATAATATGGTTCATGTGAAGCCTTCATAAGATTTTGTATCAATGATACCTTAAAAAAAAAAAAAGAATCTGCTGACTTTGTTTACCTGAGCACTGACCAAAGAACCTTCTCTCAAGTTAACACCTACTGAGGTCTATAGGCTCACAGTGAGAAATGCCACACAGGGATCAAGTAGTTGAAGAGATCTGGGTTAGAGCCTGAGCTTTGTCACCTACTAGCTTTGTGACCTTAGTTAAATCACTTTATAGGCCAAACCTCAGTTTATTCATCTGCAACAAAGACAGCAATGGGTTCTTGGTTGTTCATTTTGTTATGCTGTACAACTTAGGTATTCTTCTGGGACCCCTAATGATTGTTCAGACTTTAACATCTGCCCCCACTTCTCAAATGGCTTTAGAGTGAAGTACAAGCCATGCCAGGTTCCCACCACTGAGCCCAGGCCTCAGAATTAGTGTAGAGGTAGGACTGCACAGGCTCACAGAAAGACCATGGTACTGGCCCCTGCTAAGTGCTCATTAGCACTGATCTTCTAGAACCTCCTGACAACTGGATCATAGCCTACTGACCCCTCCTGAGAGTATGACACCCTTCTGGGAATGGGAGTCTCAAAGTCCTGACCAAGGGAAGCACTTATGGCCACACTTCAGCAGAAAGTGTCCAGTAGAGACCACAAAGGGTTACTTACTGCTAAAGGAACCTACTTACTACAAGAGAAACTTTGAAAGTCCCAGTCTGCCAGCTTGAAACTTAATATGCCTTGGGTCCAGCCCTACCCTTGGCAAGGTGAAAAGTTCAGTGCCTCCTGCTCTTTTGTTTTCACCGAGAAGAAAGAGGAGGAAATACCTTGTGCTGGTCAACCTGCCTGCTACCTGCCTCAGCTGAGCCTCTTCAAGTTCCCCCCAACCCCATGCAGCAGAGACCAGATGCCACAAGCATCCACCATGACAGAAGCTGGCTCTCTCACCTACTAGCACAGTGCCTTAGAGTGACTCTTGAGAGTCTCTTCTCCCTGGGGAGCTTTCCTCAACTCCCCCAGGCTGGGTTCCCCCCACACCACTCATCCACACTTCTACTACTACATTTCGCCCTGTGGGAATTGTGTCTTCCCTACAAGACAAAGCTCTACAAAGGCTTTACTCATCTTTGAACACAGTGAGCACTAAATGAAATGTACACTGAACTCAGAACTGAGATCAACTGCATCAAGCCCTTCCTCAGAGGATTAGGTGCAGCTTAAAGGAGGAGTCTGAAAAACCTTTTCTAAGGACTGTGCAGGACTGTACATCCCTCCTCTAGGGGACAGTCTGGAGACTGAGTTGCTAAGGCACATTTCCAAGATGGCCACTATTCCACATCTTACTCTGTGCCCTGCCCAGGATACAATAGAACCGGAGATGAAGGGACTGGCCAAGATCACCAGGACTGCCTGGTGACATCCTGCATCTGGCTGCAGCTACCTGCTCTGAGTAGTCCCCACAAGCCTGCTTCAGACCACTGATAGGCCTGCAGGACTGAGCTCAGGCTTTGGGGCAGCATACCAGCCACCTGGGCATAGGGGTGGCCGTGAGCTCAGGCTCAAATTACATAGAACCAGACCCTTAACTCCAAAAAGACACAAGGCTTAACTTTATAAGTCCTGGGGCTTTCTGAATCTAGAAGGAATAAGGTCAGCTTGCTCTAAGTCTCAATTCTGTACACAAAGGTAGAGAGAATAGCTGAGCACATTAGGCAGCTCAAGTCAAGACACTTCACCTAAACTTCAAGCATTCAGTACTGTTCTGAAAGAAATTAAATCTCCGATAACAACTCTATGGCATCAATGGCCTCATTTTGCAGAGGAAAACTAAGGCCCACAGAGGTTAAGTAAGTTGCCCAGGGTCAAACAGCTAACATGGTGGCACTGGTACTCCAGCTGAACTTGTAGTTTCTGTGCCTATGCTCCATTGTTGCTTCTGGTTAGGGAGGGAAGAATGTGGGGCAGAAGAAAAGCCCATCTGTGCTTCCCAGTGACAAGGTCCCATCTGCCCTGGAGGCCTTACTGGCCAAGGACATGTATACACCTGCTACTCTCACGGAAGAAGTCTTCAAAAATGAGCCCATGCCTCCAGAAAGCTAGCACATTCTCTAAGCAATGGGGGCACACCAACTGCCCAGCTGAAAATGGCTGGCCAGCCCTGAAATCTTTATGGCCTGTTTATTTTCTGCTTGCTCTGAGTTCATATATTAAGACCATGGCTTGCCTAATAGCTTCCCTTTGTTGCCCCCTGCCTTAGTCTTAGGTCTGGCCAACCCCCCTAGCCAAAAGCTCCTCCTAAGAATGCACAGCCCCGACTTCTTCCTGAGGTTCCCTCACCTCCCATGGAATCAGAAAATTCCACACAGGAGATGTGGCCCAGGACCTATCTGTCCTACTTTCCCAACTATTTTAAGCCAGAAAGCTAAATTTTGCTCTCAACCAGCTGAACAAGATCAGTCCTTAGCCAGAACTGATGGGTGCCAACTCTACTCAATACCAACTATTATCTGGAAGTCACAGGCCCCACTCACCTCTGCATTTTCCATGGCTAGGCAACAGTCATTTCCAGACAGGGGGCTAAGGGTTGGGCCTCTGGGCATGTGGCCACCACAACCACAGACCAGGCATCAGTGATTAAAAGTAGCAGCAAACAAGTAATTAGCCTTGAGATAGTTATTTTAATTAATCCAATTGGAATCTGCTTAATCCACTCATTCACTCTACAGGGAACAGAAGCAATGCAGGTGAACCAATAAGAAGAGGAGGTGAAAGATATTTATTTCCCTAAATAGCAGCATTAAGAGGGGACCCACTCAGCCCCAACATGGGAAGGTTACAAAAACAAAAAACAAAACAAACTGCATATGGGGTTTGGAAAGACATCTGAAGCACTTCCAGAAAGGTCTGTGAGGGCTTGCTCTAAATGCCCATGCTTGGACACTGCTGAGTTAATGTCTGCCACAGACTAACACTCCTACTGACAATTATCAAATATAAAACTGTATTCCTGACACACTGTCTCTGATGGGCATAGACACATCTGACACCAACAACTGAAATCTGAGTCAGATGAGAATTACTAGAACCCCTTCCCATCTGCAGAGAACCCGTTTTCATCAGCTCCTCCCTTCCCATCTGCAGCTTTACTTCTAGGCTGTGAAGTGAAAGGAGGTGAAAGAGAGCATGGCCTCTGGGAAGCTTGGAGAAAAGCCCAAGCAGGTTTTGAAGGCAGGCACTACTAACCTAGCACGCTGAGGGTGCTAAGTGGGCAGGTGCTAGATTTAAACTAGTGGGGAAGTCCAGATCCCTAGAGCAGTGGCTCTCAACTAAGGATGATTTTGGCCTCCAGGGGACATCTGGAAACATCTGGGGACAGTTTTGGTTGTCGTGGAAGGTGCTCCTGGCATTTAGCAGACAGAGGCCAGCGGTGCTGCTACACATTCTACAATGCACAGGGCACCCCCTCCCCTCAGTCCCCCAACAAAGGCTTAACCAGCCCAGAGGTCAGAACCTGGCAGCTCGCACTGGGAACATCACTTCAGGTCCATGCCGGATCTAAGGACCAATAACGAACTCCATCTGCCTCAAGTCAGCATCTACCTGCCCCCCTACTGGTGGCTACTCCCTGCTACTACAGCCAAAGCAGTTTTGCACTCCTGCAACCCTCTTCTTTGCTTGGCAATCTTCTAGTTACCCTTCAAGTTCCAGCTCACTTCCTCCCAAACCTCCCACACTCCAGAGTAGGTTAAGATGTCCCCCCTCAATGTAATCCTACAGTTTTACCTTCCTGAGCCATCTGTGGTCTACACTGGGCTGTGAACTCAATTAAGGAAAGAGCCATGTTTTAGGCTCCGTCAAAAACCCAGCCCCTTCCGCGGCAAAAGAACAAGGGATCACTGAATGGTGTGTATGAAACTAAGTGCTCACTGAAGTGTCAACCCTGTGCCAGGCCCTATATGAAACACCAACTCCCTGCTTTTAATTCTCATAGGGTTTGAGGGTCACCCCACTTTACAGATGGGAAAGCCAGCTCAGAGACCCCCACAAGATCCCAAAGCAAATGACAGGAAAGCTGGATTCAAAGCCTGGGGCAGCACTTTTCAGGACACGGCTGAGCCTTCCACACTAACTCCACAGCCAAGTCAGAACCCAGATTGGAAGGCTGAGAAAGCTTTAGGACTTTACTAATCTAAGGAAAAGATGAAGAGAATTTTCCTGATGACGCAATCCTGTTGCTGATCACTAACAGACCTGCACTTTAAGAACTTGAAACTTCTGCTCTTCCACACAGGGCTTTGGATGTGCTGGGGGAAGTGGGGGTCTCAAAGTCACAGACTGCCTCTTAAGATCTTCCCAGTACACCCCAGAGCACTGCTAGATCTCCTAAAAACAACTTAGAGGAACTTTGTAAGGAAAATATCCCATAAAGAGACCAACAGCCGTTGTATGAGGTCCTTTTATCAGTGAGTCCTTCAGTTAAGACAGACACCAAACTGCCTTACAGCATGCCACTTGGGAGAGTCTGCCCTGGAAATCCTATCTTTAAAGACCGGGAGAACAGAACCACTATGTCTGAGAACCCTGAAGCCCAAATGGCAAAGGGACACATGACAGATCAGTGGCCCTCTAAACTTCAGATGCACAAGGAAGCTGAAGTACTGCCGCTGCCACTGGTTTCCCAGACTTCCCATTAGGAGACCCTGCGTAGCACAAAGCTTTGCTACCATCCCAGGCAGGGAAGCACCCTCAGTGGTTCAACTCAAATGAGATGATGACCTGCCTCATGATCCTAAGGGGCCTCCAGAGACTCTGCTTCTCCCGTTGACCATGGCAGCCTATGGTACTCACCAAACTTCAAGAAAACCTTGGTGTGTCCTGATCCTGCACTAAAATTCAGTCATCAACTGAGCCGCTCTGAACAGCTGCAGTCCAGATTTCTTAAGAGGTTTTGGGGATTACTGAAGTACACTGCTAGATTACTTATTTCAGGGCTAGATAAAAGGCAGCTGCCAAATAAATTTTCTACTTCACATGAACAGCAAAGGTGTTCCAGCACGCAGTCCCTTTGGGGGCCAGGGCACTCAGCTAATTCTCAGCAGGATCTGGGACCTAAAATAGGCCAAGAGCCTACTCAGTTCTGTCGCTGACACAACTACAAGGCCAAATACCAGGTAAACCAAAACTTGCTTTATTTTGTTTCATACGGTCCTGTTAACACATTCTTAGAAAGGATCGAGGGGCTCTTTAAGCAGCCAACGGGACCGAATTTTAAGAATCTGCCGTGCTATTAGTAGTCCAACCACTAATCTGTTCAACTCCAGGGAAGTCACACCCCCACTTGGGAATGGAAAACATGTCTCAATTAAATACTCTCCGGGGCCTTCCTCTATGAGTATTTTCTCTGATAAGGAATCCATGAACATTTTCTGTTAAGGAAACCAGGAACAACAAAGTTGGAAAGACACTTAAATTCAACTCACTTAAAAAAAAATAGGTGTTTTAAAACCACAGGAAATGGAAACCCAGAGTAAAAAAGTGACTTGCTAAAATCACAAAGGTAAAGAAAGAGACTACTAAAACCTTAGCCTCCTTTTAGATTAACTGTGGAACAAGGCCATGATCGTGCCAAAGCTGCCCTCGGGACACAGAATTCTGGGATGTTTCCCTGACCCCTCCCTACTTACTATACAAATTTTAACCAAGACCTATTTCCCTTCCTTGCCACCCTTCCCACCCCCGCCCAAACAGAACAATAGGTCAGAAGTGCAAAGCGCGGGCTTCTACTGCTTACTGCCTACTGGTCAGGTAGCTACGGCAGTAGGATGTAGGGCCGCCCCCTTCTCCCAGGTGGATTACCTGAGCACAGTTACGCTACCCCTGCGCACCGGCAGGGAAAGCACAGGTTCCGACACCCGGATAGGCTTGAACTGGAATTTGCAGCCGAAGCAGAGCGCGGAATCACTAAAGAAGGACACGGACACGATGGGGCGCTCAAAGATGTGGATGGGGTCCACGTGAGACACGATGCAGCCGCCGGGCTGGTAGTCGTTGATGACGGCGCTGTTGACGAAGCCCTCGGGGATGACGCGGTGCTCCACCAGCTTCTGGATCACCAGCTGGTGCACCCACTCGGGAATCTCGTCCACATCGCCCGGAGGATACAGGCGCTCCTGGCCGGGCCCGCGCTTCTGCAACTGGGCGCCATAGGTGTATCCCTCGCCGAAGAAGTACTTGTTGCGCAGAGGGGCCCGGTCCACCGTATGCTCATTGTACAGGCCTTTTTCAGCGCGGGACACCACCTCGTCTATGCGGGCCTCGATCTTGGCGCACTCGTCCTGGCTGAAGAGACGCATCTGGCGGATGCCGCTCTTCACCTTGCGTGCCTCCTCCTCCTTCTGCAGCTGCTGCTCCTCGTAGTCGCTACGCTCGGGGTCCGAGTCCTCCTGGTACTTGCGCTTGGCCCCGGTCGCCGGATAAGGCTCAGCCGCGGCGGCGGCGGCGGCGGCGGCGGCCACCGCGGCGGCGGCGGCGGCCGCTGCCTCCCGACTGCCTGCTTTATAGTTGTCCCGAGACGTCATGGATTTGAGCTTCTCACGCAGATCCGTGTAACCGCTGGCGGCCGCCATGGCCCCCGCGACGCTGCTCTAGGGTCCTCCGGGACGGGCGGGGCGGCCGGGCATGGCTCTCGGGGGACGCGCCCCACACGGCGGCCTGAGGTGCGGGGATCTTCAGCGCCAGGCCCGCATACAAGGCCAGAGGACCCGGCGCGGAGCGCTGAGGAGTCGGGCGCTGGCTGGGTCGAGTATCAGGGGAGGCGGGTCATGCAGCAGTAGCGGCAATGGGGCTTCCTCCTACACTTTCTCCACGTCCCGGGGGGCAGGGACGCCGGCTGTGCCTCATGCCGCGGAGGGCGTCTGTGGAGGATGGGCCCGACTCCCAGCCAGACCCTCAGTCGCCCGGCCCGGCCCGCACTTTAAAGCGCTCCTCACGACGTCACCGGCCGTCCGCTCGACGTCCGCCAGCGCCGCTCCTCAGCGGGTTTCTCAGCGCGCACGCGCAACGCCGCGGGCCACCGCGGCTCCGCTCACAGCAGGCATGCGCGAGCGTGAGGGCCGGGTCAGCAGGGACACCGGCGCAAGCGCAGACCGGAACCGCTCGTCGTCCACCGCCCCTCCCCCACTCACTGAAGAGCTTCAAAGCTGCACCCTCGAATAACAACCTGCCTCCAAGTGGCGACACCTCCGTGACCGAAGGGCTCCTTCCACAGGGTGCGCTCACGCTGCTAACGCTGTCGCTTTACTGCGTCACGGCATCGTCTGAATGCCCGAAAACGCTTGGAGCCCAGCGGGCAACCACCGAGGAACCTCCACAACCTAAGCTGCGCCGTTACCGCCCCCTTTGGGGCTTCCGCTTCTTTCATTGGGCCACAGTACACGCGCCAGGTGGGCCCAGATGGGAGCTTTCGGAAGTTGATTCGTAGTCTTCCCTGTCAATCAGGCGGTCGCCTTGGCTACTGTGTCCGTCACTTAATTAGCTGGGAGGAGGGTACCTAGGACCCCCCCCAGAAAGGTGAATGGGTGGCTAAGTAAGTGCCCGAATGGCGACTCAACCGGAAGAAAGCTCTCAAGCGATTAAGGGAACTTATGAAACTAGCGAAGACTTCTCAAACTGGGGGACCGAAAGCACCAGGTCCCAGCTCTGAAGCAAGACACCGAAGGCCGCAGAAACTAGACATATTGACAGGCACCTCCCTGACCCATCCTCCCCGCCGCCGCCGCTCGCAGCTCTGCCGGGAGTGGACGTTCCACGAGTCACGTCTGGGTGTCGGCGGGCGTGTGCGCAGCCGCGGGCCGTGTCGGGGTTGGCATAGCTCTTTCCTTGGCTAGAGATGGGTGTAGGGGCACCTCTTCCGGGAAGTACAGAAAGAAACTCAAGGGGACGAGTAGGCCCACAGATAAGGCGAAACTATAACTGATAGACAAAAAGTTTGAAGCGCTGTGGTCAGATAAGCGTGTGCGGCGTGAACAAAGGCGTGGGGATTCTGGGTGGGCAGGGGCAGGTCCACAGATAGGTGTTTCTTGCCAGAAAACCTTCCATAGCTCCCAGCATAAAAACTCATCTTTGCTTGGCGTTCAAGGCCTTGGTTCAAGACGCTTACGCCCTTGCTGGTTCTCCCCTCTCCGAGAACACTAACCTCTGGCCCTGCCCTGACACTGCCTGGATCTGCAGACATACCCTTCACACCACTGGCGTTTACCCAAGCCGTTTCTTCCACCTGAAATGCCAGTTCCATTCCACCCACTGCCTTCATTTTGATTTTTTGAGGCTCAGCTCACGTCTTTGTAGCAGCCTTCCCAGACTGGCACCGAAATGGGATGCATCTTCGGTGTCATGATCTGGCCTCTGCCTTCAGCCGCATCTCCCTGGCCATTTGCTTCTGTGTCTCTGCACGCTGTCCACTGGCCCCCAGCTTGTCAGGGCATAAGCACGGGACTTTGGGATCTGACAGACATGGGTTTGAATCTTGACCTTGTGACAGGCTGTATGACCCTGAGCAAGTGAATTTCCCTCTGAACCTCAGGATTCAGGTCTGCAAAATGGAATAACATTAGTACCCACCTCATATGGTGCTTGTGAGGATGAAATGAAGTCATGGATATTAAGCAAAGGGTATTGTTGACCTCTAGTGTGGGCCTTGTCTGTAAACTGAGGGCCCTACAGTCCCTGTTGGTAGTTGGGAATTGCTATGTAGTGACTTGGCAAGGCAAGGCCAGTAGATCCTGTAGTGTGGAAAATCATGAACACCTGGGACCCTGGCCATTACCCTCAAGCTCCCCACCAGGCCACTTTCCCTCCCAAGGGTGGGCATGAAGCCTGTAGTAAATCTGACCCTTGCCCTTTTCTGACACAGCCTAGTGGGACACTGATGGTGGCAGTAGGAAGGCAACTATGGGCAGTGAAAAGTGGCCTGGGGGCAGGGCTAGGGCCCAGGTGGCCTGGGCTTGGCCCGAAATCACGTGAACACCTGGGGAGGGTCCCCTTGCTGGTATAATGGGCAATTTAGCTCTAGCCCTTCAGAAAGTCCCATACCTACCTCTAACTGCCCTCTGACACAGGGGCATCAGACTCCACTCACACATCTGCTTGGCAGGGGCTCACTTCCTCAGTAATCACAAAGCCTTCCCAGAGGCTGATTCAAGTGAAAATGAGCATCATCTCTTACCTAGGCCTCAACACCACTCCCATCCCAGGCACCCCACCAGAAGCTTCCATGGACTCTTTCCTCTGTTCTGAAGCCAGGCCCTCCCTTCTCTGACTCAGTGAGACAGCAGGGACTCTGGAACCAGCCTGCTGACATATGAATCTTGGCTAGGCCAATTAGTGGTTACTTGCTGCACCTCTGTGGGCCTCATATATAAAATGGCGATAATACAGTACCCACCTCATTGAGGTATTCTGAGGATTTAATGTGTTAGTACATGTACAGTACCTGGAGCAGAGTAAAAACTTGGTAAGAATTAGCTTTTAAAAAAAAGTCTTCACCCCAGACATCCATTTGCATCCCATGCCAGACATAATGATGACTACTTTGAAAGCACTTGTCAGTGCTTCCAGTTTACAAAGAAGGTAGCAGAGGCTCAGAGAGGGCAAGCAACTTGCAAAAGGCCACATGGCTAATCTACAAATGGATGTGGAATTTGAACACCAGTCTCTGTGGCTTCATAGCCTGGGCTTTTAACTACCAAGGCAATATTCTCTTAAGAGGCTTGTGGGTCCTGGGCAGGAGGAGGCACTCCTAGGCAAGGGGATACTACAGAGGTTGAGTATGTGGATGCTGGAAACTGGCCAAGTCCAGCCCCCTATCCCATAAAGGGGCAGCAGTCAGGTTCTTCCAGTTTCTTTTTGGCACCCAAATATCATGGTACATCTGGGACCCCAAGCCTTCACCAGCTGACTGTCTCAGGCTCCCATGCCCCCAGACATTTCTCTTGCATTGTTCCCACTCCATGCTAGGCTGGGAACTCTAGGGCTTGGTACTGTCTGTTATGGATCTTCCCACATTTACTTGGGAGTTCCTACTTTTCTGGGTATTGGCCCAGGTAGGCAAGTCCAGTGCAGTACCTCTAGGGTGTGTGGGAGACACAGCAAGGCCTGAGTCTTCTGCCACCCCTGACTTCCTACTCTGCCTCATGGGGATTGTTACCTCCTCTTATGAGGGCTCAACTCACTGATGCCACCAGAGTCACCAAACAGGTGTTAAAACATGAGACCCTACAGCCCAGGTCCTGAAATCCAAAAGCCCTGATCTGGTTATCTAGTGCTATGTAACCAGTCACTCCAAAACTTAGACCTCAGTCACTTAACTAGCTTACACATCTGCAGTCCAGCCAGGGTTTGGCTGGGAAGCTCCTCTCCGTTCCATGAGCACCAGCTGGAGCAGCTCGACGTGGAGGACTCACTTCCAAGAAGCCCCACAGGGCTGGCCAACTTGTACTCTGAAGTCCAAAACTCACCTGGGCAGAACTACTGCAGCAGGGGAAACTTGATGGCTAAGGCACTCTTTCTGGCTCCTTCCTCCACATTCCTCACTTCCCAAATCAGCTATTCACACCGGGCTCCTCTTGGAGCTGCTTCTTCACGAAGCCAAGTAGACAAGTGGAAGTGGGGGTGGCCCCAAAGCATGTGTATGAAGGACTCTTCCTTGACCCTCCCCTCTCAGGACAGTTGGATTCCCTGCCAAGCCCCGCCCATTGGGCCTCCTAGGTATCTCCCGAGTTACCAACTTCTCCCCCACCCGTCACCACCATCAGTGCCTACACCAGTGTTTTCAGGCTGATGCTGCAGCAGCCTCCCCCTCCTACATTCACTCTGGGGTTACAATGACCTTTTCAAAGTACAGTCTGAACAGACTGCTCCACCCCTTTGCCCTCACTGAAAAGCTTTCGCAGGCTCTCCATGGCTCTTGGTATGAAATTCTAAATCTTCAGTGCAGCCTCGCCTGATTCACCCCTGCCGGCTTTGTCTCAAGTCTTGCCACTAGCAATGTCCACCCCCTATGATGTCCACTCCAGGGTTCCTGCATATCTCTTCCCTCTGAAGTGTTCTTTCCCAACACCTGGCTTCTAATCATGGTCTTGTTCTGCTTAGTTATTTAACTGTGCCTGGCATTTGCCTAGTACACAGTAGTTGCTAAATAGGTATTCAATGAGGAAATAAGTCCTTCCTCTGGTGACATGGCTCTAGCCAGTTATGCTCCCACATACCTATTCAGCTTGCCTCTCCCAAGCCTAGTACTCCCCTCTAGAAGTTCCCAAAGCATCAGCACCTTCCATCAAGAATCATTTAGTCTTTCATTCATGTAATAAGTATTTTTAAGTACTTATTCTGTGTTAGGTATTGTCCTAGGCTCTGAGAGACAGAGAGGGAACACCATTTTCTGTTGAGAATGTTCATTTCCCTCCATCTATTCCTAGTAAACTTCTATTCGTCCTTCAAAACCCAATCCCAATGTCCCATTCTCCCAGAAGCCCTTTCCCAGACTTCTCCTTCTCTTGCCCAACATGGAATTTCTCTCTCCTTCCACCATACCACTCTCAAACCTTGTGTGGCCCATCTCATATGAGGGCTTGGGGCTATCCGAGGAGTAGGGCCACAGGGTCTGTAGGGAGAGGAAAGGACAGATGTCTGCTGGAAGCTCTGTCCATGGGCAGTGTGCCGTGCACAACTGTGCCTCCAACTCCTCCCACCCTCAGGCTTGTTTTCCAGCCACTCAGCAACTCCATGGAGGAACAGTTGCCAGGTGTACCTTTTATTTGCAAAGCAATGATTGAGGTCCCTGAATCCAAGCTGAGCAGCATGCAGGGGCACTCGAGGAGGACATGTGAGGGGCTCGGGAGTGAAGGTGGGGCAGATTGGATCAGACCTGGGTAAACCAACGGCAAAATCCAGTTCACTGGTGTGGGACTGCCCTGCCATGTCTGGGCATCAGGGGCAGGGCCCTCGGTGGGTATGTGGCAGGAGGCTCCACCAGGGCAGCCTTTGTCAGTTCTGTATGCTGTCTGACCCACGTCTGCATGCTGCAATCCCATCCCAGCTCCGGACTTGTCTTCTCAGGTTCCTGGAGACTTGGATCACCCCTCCTACTGCCTCTTGATCTCCCCCAAGGTTCTAGCCCCTTACAGAGGTCACTGGTCCCAAGAGGCCCACTAACTCCCCTGGGGCCATACAGCAAGCCTTCTGGCAGAGGGCAGCTAGGGGCTGGGTCAGAGCAGCGTGATTTCGCTGGGCGGCAGCGTGAGCCGCTTCTCATGGGCACTGATCAGGTTCTCCACATGCACAGCCACCACACGACACAGCTCCAGGCCCTGTAGGGAGACAGTGAGAGTCCACACACACCCAACACTTCCCCACCTCTC